CAATGTCCTGACAGTATGTTTGAGATAAATCCCCAGGATGGTAACTGACTTACTCAAGATCTTCCCACTGCAGGGGGAGAGCTGGGACCGAGACAATTCACGTCTAGCTCCAGTAATCTTCCTAAGCAGTTATTATGAAGATCATTCTCAGCTCAGATTTGGCTGGTTTTAGATTGGGACATAATATTTGGAGCTGGAAGTATACTAGAGACTCTGGGACATACATGGCGTCACTGAAATTATACCCCAGCTGCCTTCATTATTATCTTTTCATGAGTGTTCTTTTTTTTTTTTTTTTTTTTTTTTTTTTTTTTTTTTTTTTATGATGCCTCCATTAAATCTTAACTATACGCAAAGAAGAAAGAGGGTAGGATAATTTCAATTCAGGTTTTGTAAAAAAAAATTTATTGCTTATCATATCATAATCATTGTGTTATATATATTACAGGCACTATTTAAAAAGAAAATCATGTTCTTTCCTCCAGGGGAATAGATTCATGCATTACCTCGAACAAGGAAAGCAGAAGTAGGAATTATATAGACCGGTATAGTAAAATACATCACACAGACGTAGGAGAAAGCAAGGAGAGGTTCTTCAACCAGCACGGTTTGTTGTGTGCAGTGTCTTAAATCTGAGTTTACAAAGAGGAGGCCCCCAAAGGGGAAAGGCTGATAAACGAGACAGGATTGAGAAGCAGACGCCGGACCGAACTCCCCTAGATGAATCTATGCACCGGAAGTCAGTGTGTGTGCACGGCATCTGTTTGTTCCTCGGAGAACTGCCTCCTGGGCCTGGGACGGGGGAGGCTGCCTCTGACCGGCCTGAAGGCCAGCATGAGCAGCAGCCGACCGAAAGCTGCCAGGCCCTGTCCCTGTTGCCCCTCCTGCAGAGCCCTGAGGGAAGACTTCCTTTTTACATTTCACGCCAACAGAAACCTGGTCCCCTGAGAACCAGCATTTCTGTCCCAATAAAATCGCCAGTTCTGGGTTCCCTTTTGGCCTCCTTGCTGGCGAGCTCAGAATACTCCCATCCCTTGTAATGAGCACATGTGCACTTTTTCTTTCCTTCTTTGATTTTTCTAGTGTATAAAGTCCTTGCGTATGTTATCTTGTTGTAAGCTATTATACTTCAGGTCCTTTAAAAAAAAAGGGGGGGGGGCTTGAGTATGAAAGCAAATAAATGCAAACTCCCCCTCGTCCCCCCCACCTCCCCCAGCAGGCAAGGCATTGCTGACCTCTGGGTGTCAGCAATAATGGCCTTGCGGTACCCAGGCAACTGCACCCGCAGCTGGCTGCCTTTCCAGGGCTCCGTGGGGAGGAGCAGGAAGGAAAGGAGGCAGCAATGCTCTTATGGGCGCTGTCAGGGCTCAGCCTTCTGCACACGAACGTCCTGGCTCTGCGTCTATGGGTTTATGAACTTCCTGGTCCACTGAGCATCTGAAGGATGCATTTGTTGCCCGGGAAACGGGAGAGGGGTCCCAGAGGGAGATGGGCAAAGCAAGGCTGGCTGGTTGGACGGCTGCTCTCTCTCTACTAGGAGGGAGGCTGTATCGGACCTTCGTCCTTTTCTTACCCACGCGCTGAGGAAGCGAAGGAAAGAGGCTGCTTGCAGAGGGAAGTGCACAGCGAGGCCTTCCTATCTCCCATGACCCCCGTGTGTGGGAAGTACCTAGCAATACCCCATGTATGCACTCCCGGGCAATGGTACAGGCTGCCCATGTGTGTCCTTCACCCAGGCGTACTGCCTCTTATTAATAGTGGACTTTCGTTTCAGTAAATTTCCCCCCCACAAAATACAAAAGAATGTAATACATTGTCTTTATTGTCTGACATTACAGATTGGTTTTTATACTTTTCTTTCTTTCTTTCTTTTTTCTTTTTCTTTTCTTTTTTTTTTTTACACAGACCAGGGGAATGAATAAAGGTTAAAAATGTGTCCAGCATTTTCCAAACATTCTTTGTTACACCAAACACACACAATGAATAAATAGGAAAGAGAATACAGAAGAATCAAAAGGCAGGTTGAAAAAAGGACAGGCTGTCATTCTAATCGACCCATGGGGAGACGGGAAGCTTTTTGATAGTCCTGGGGGCGGGTGTGTTGTCATACACAGCATGGTACGTGCATTGGAAAGTAAAGTAAAGCTGTGTTTTGCTGCTACTGGATTATGATTAGTTTTTGAGAATGCTGCTCCCTCTGCTGGCCTCTGAACCACAGGGTTAGAGACAAGGTTTCAGCTTGGAGTTTGGGCCACAGGGCTAGCCGTGGGGTCCCTGTTCCTAGAGATGGAGGTGAGGATCCTGGGAGCTCCCAGAACAGAGAGGCTCTCAGTGAGCAGAGGTGGCGGAAAGGGTCCTATTGGTTTGAGGCGTTCTGCTGGGGAGAACGAAACAGTGGGATGTGAATAAGTACCGAGTGTAGTCTTTCTCTCAAAAGATTGAGCACATTTTGGGGAATTGGGGCTTAATACTTATGTAACAAGAAGAGACAGAGTTGACTAATTTTTGTAAAAAGAAGTCCCACACCTTTTCAGTAAAATGGAAACTGACTGGCTACTTGCAGCATCACGGGATGTCCCGGGAGCTTCAGTGAGCTGTGGGATTTACCTAGTGTAGCTTTAGCATCTGGGATGGGTACCTTCCTATCAGGGAAAGGGTTTGCTCCATGACCCAGAGATGCATGAGGCTGGTTTGATATTTAGACACCTGCCCCCCCCTACCCCTGAGATCTAAAAAGTGTCCCACAAATGACAATTTGTAACTCTTCTCATAAGTGTAATAGTTCTTTTGATGCTGACAGAAGTCATAGTTATAAAAAATGCTCAATTTAATATATTTCAATTCAAGCACTATATTGAAAAGGAAGCAAATTAGTATGATTTTTTTTCCTCTTTCCAAACTGAAGCATGAACATACATTAGAGGCAAAAGCAATGAGAGAAACAGCAGGACGGCAGGCCCCTCCACTGTTAGTTAAGACCTGCAGTAGGGAACATAACTTACTCCCTGCTTCAGTTCTTCTTCCTACAGAAAGATGGAACCAACAACAGTTAGGTTACCCAGGGTTCCGAGAAGAGCATACAGACAGGGTGAAGGGAAGCAGGTCGGGACACATCAACACAGCTTTGGGGGCAGGTCAGCTCTCTTTCTACCTCCCTGTTGTGACTTCAGTCCTAAGTCTTAGGTATCAGGAACTACAGATTCATCTTCTTCCCCCCTGTGCCAACCATCTTTCAGCACAACCTGCCTGCCCTGGTGCGTGCACATCCTGATACCTTAGGCTGCTCCGTTAGGTCGCTGCCCCGATGGCTGGAGGCAAACAGACTTCCATCCAGTGCGACAGTGATAGAGTTTACAGAAATATAAGCAGGGGGATGTGTGCAAATCTCCCTGCCACTTAGTGAAGAGGAAGATGGGACAGGCCTTCTTCATTTGGTGTATTTGTAAAGGAAAGCGGAAAGAGCTTCTCAGGGTCATCAAATGAGAGGACAGGCCAGAAATAGCAACAAGTTGTTAATGATCTGGTCCCGTTTTAACACATACAGAACCACGGAAACTCAATTCTACACCTGGCATGCCTAACACGCTGACGGTAGTGTAGTAACGAGAAAGCTTCCCAACTGATGGCGGGAAAAGTCAATTAAGAAATAAGAAAGAGTAAAGCAAACAAAAGAAGAAGTGGTAATGTATGGCAGTGCCTGACAGGTTCCATGGTAGGTTTCAACCAGTATTTGTTAAAGAAAAGGAAGGAAGGAAGGGAGGGAGAAAAGGAGAAGGAGGAGGAAGAAGAGGAGGAGAAGGAGGAGGAGGAGGCAGTGGCCAGGGAAGGAGAGGGAGAAAGAAAGGGAGGGAAAGGAGAGGGAGAGGGGACGGAGAGAGGGAAGGAGGCATGGGGGAGAAGGAGGGAGAGAGGGAGAGAGGGAGAGAGAGAGAGGGAGAAAGGGAGAGACAGAGAGAGAGAGAGAGAGAGAGAGAGAGAGAGAGAGAGAGAGAGAGAGAGAGAGAGAGAGAGAGAATACAGACACAATAAAGGAAGGTGTGCCAGGGATAGGAGGGATCCACAGATGGACTGGGAGTCAGCACCTATGCCTCACAATGAGAGGCCCCAGGGACTGTGTCTCTGTCATCTTAAGGGGAGTTCTAGTCACTGCCTTTGGCATGAACAGTTGCAGCTCATCCTGGCTCATGCGTGTCTGTGTCAGGCCGGGGGACCACACAGCACTGAATCTTCTACTGGGGTGAGCATGGACACGTGGCCACAATTAGTCTGCTTTTGACTTAAAACGGGACCCAGTGTGTGCCGAACAGGGGCTTAGGATGTGTGAAAGGAAGAATGTCACTTCCCAGTGGGAAGAATGGCTGCAGCACTCTGCAGAGGCCTCCCAGAGCTCCACATTGAAGCTCTGCCCTCAGAAAAGCAAGGAGATCAATAACATTTTCAAAGAAGCTCAACTTTATGAAACTAGATTTGTTAGTAATTTATCAGGATTTTTTTTTTTTTTCCCAAGAGATGAATATTTCTCAGGCAACAGGATTAAAGAAAAAGGAGGTATTTCCATTTATAGTTTGCATTTGAGACCCATGGAACTTATGTGACTTGCTGCTAAAGCCACCCAGGTACGATTTTTTTTTTTTTTTTTTTTTTTTTTACTGAAATTAATGAAGTTACTTCTCTGAATGAAAGTACGACCACCAAAAGTTAATTCATCACTACATCTTCACTTCATGAATTAGACATTAGCTGCTGTTCAATTTAATCAGAACTGCTGAAAGCTAGTAAAGTAAATGTTTCTAAATAAATCCAGTTCCATGATAGACCTCAGTCATCAGTTCCAGAAAATGAATAAGGATAAGCCCACTACTTGACTGCTCTCACGTGATGTAGCTGAGAAAAGCTCTGACGTCTGAATTTAAGACTGCATTTTGGGCAAATCACATATCAGGATTATAGAAAATGATGCACAATATGTGCACAAAATTTCACAAATGCCAGCGTCTTACCTTGAGTAGCTTCATGAGACCTTCTAACTGGACCATCAGCTCCCGCCGGCTCTCCTGCAGAGCGGACATCCTCTGCTCCAGCTCATCCTTGCGCTGTCTGAGAAAGCAGCAGCGGTCATCAGAAACACATTCAGCAGCCCAGTTACTCACGCTTCCCCATCTGGTGAGACTAGGGGATCCCCAAGGGAAGGGCATCTCTGGGTGTTTGACATGGTTACTAGGCAGGGAACTGTCCAATGACTGAGCAATTAAAGCTCTGAGGTGTACATTTATTTGTTAGAAATCATACTAAAATAGAATTGAAATCCTTTAGACATTTCTCTCTCTTTATGCTGGATTAGCCTTAGATAAAATCTTTTTTTTGAAATTATTTTTATTCATTTCAGAGAGGAAAGGAGGGGGAGAGAGATAGAGACATTAATAATGAGAGGGAACAATTGATCAGCTGCCTCCTGCATACACTACACTGGGAATTAAGCCCGTAACCTCAGGCATATGGCCTGACCGGGAATCCAACTGTGACTTCCTGGTCCATAGGTCAATGTATAACCACTGAACCATGCCAGCTGGCCAAGATGAACTCTTTTCTTAATACTTACTATGTCATGGCCCCTGTGCTATGCCATTGGGTTTCCTTAACACAACAAATAAAAACCAAACCATCACGGAAAAAGGCCAATCCCCATCCAGCTGGTTTGGGTCAGTGGTAAGTGTTGACCCATGAACCAGGGAGGTCATGGTTCCATTCCTAGTCAGGGAACATTCGGGATTTCAGGTTCAATCCCCAGTGAGGAATTGCAAGAGGGAGCCAATAAATGATTCTCTCTCATCACTGATGTTTCTATCTTTCCCTTGCCCTTCTTTTTCTCTAAAATCAATAAAAATATATTTTAAAAAGGCCAAATTCCACAAATTCTCCAAACCCAAGAATCCTTTTATAACTCTCACAAAAAACACTTATTACCTTAATGTTTGGAAATTGGATTTAGAAAAGTACATTTTCCATCTGTTCCATCCTTAGTATGCAAAGTAGTGCCTTTTAGAGGTCAAATATTAATTTTGCATAGTAATTACAGTCAACCTAAATTTTTTGGTTTTGGTTTGCTTTAAGTAAAGTCAGAATAAAGAAATTCCCATGTAATTACCGTATTTTTTGGACCATAAGACGCACCGGACCATAAGACGCACCAGTTTTTAGAGAAGGGAAATGAAGAAAAAAAGATTCTGAAACAAATAGTGTCCTAAAATATTTTATGTGCATTAAAACCCAACATCACAGTAATAAACACATGTAATCCACCCTGTAAAGTAAACAGCAGCATTTAGAACCATTTTAGAGCCGGGCAAGCACACAGAGACCACACAGAGCTGGGCAAGTAAAAAAACTTTTTTTTTAAAGTATATGTGTAGGCTATATTTGGACCATAAGATGCAGGGACTTTTTCCCCCCACTTCTGGGGGAAAAAAGTGCGTCTTATGGTCCGAAAAATACGGTAACTAAAAATAATGTACAAGGCTTGTCTTTGTTTAATTTAATTATGTTTTGCAGAACAATTAAACTGACAAGAAGAATGGAATTGTCACACATGACAATCTATACTCTTATCACTGATGTTGACACTAAGAGGTATCAAAAATGTCTTTAAGAGGGGGGATAAATGAAACAGTATGAAGGTGAATATTAATGGCTCACATTTCTGAAGTAAATGTATACCTTTCAAATCAATTTAAAATTCGATTATTGAATGACCATTAGTGAATTAGTGATACATGTTTTTTTCTTGCCCCAAAGGCTTCTCTTTCTGCGTCAGAAATATTGAAACTTATATTTTTAACAATGTGTGGATGTTTTTAACCATATGTGCATTAGCGTAGGGGTGGACATGCCTCATCTCATGGCACAGACACAGTATTAGGTGGAGCTACAGCAGGGACTCTGCAATGAAAAGCTGACAATCTGAAAATGAAATGTCATACTGAGTTAGGCCAAGGGCTTGTCTTATTGAGGGATGCTCTGTGGGAGGACAGGCTATAGAGATAAACGAGACACCTCTAATTTGCTTTCAGATAGGCTAGCTTCATAACAAATGACCGATTTAAAATTGATAAACACACCTCAACTCTTATTGAATATATTTTCAGCTTTTCATTGCCGCTTAAGGCTTACTACCAGGGCAATCTTTCCTTTGACTTCTTTAACAACTGCCTCTTTCCTGAATCCTGTGGATAAGGAACAGCAAATTATATGCAAGAGTGAACGTGGAGCAGAGCACATAGGAAGTGTTGGGTTAGTACACAGAAAGGCCCATCAGGTCATCCTAGTTAGCTGTTAGATCTGGCTTACAGACGTGGCTTTCAGCTTTGTTGTGGCTAACGTGAAAAGGAAACTATGATAATTTAGAAAGGTCACCATGCTTTCCAGATAAAAAATAAACTGTGATTTCACGAGGAGCAAAGCTCTGCTCCATTCTCCCCTCTCCTGTCCCCGAGCTAAAAGAACGTGGGCCAGTTGGTTTCTCAACAAAAGGGCCCAGGAAGGAGGGAATGGAAGGAGAAGACCTCTGTCAGAGCTTCCGAAAGGCGTTTCTGGGGCTGTTTTACTTGGCAGCCCCTCAGTGTGAACGAAGGCTGGAGTAACTGTGGAAGAGGCCAATGTCTGGGCATGCTTTCAGAATATGACACGACGGAAGAATAAAGCTCAGGACACTGGGAGCCAGGTTTCTTAGCCTGGGATGTCAGGGCGTCTGTGAAATCCATGAGTTGTGAAAGTGCTTAGCACAGAACAAGTGGTTTATAAGTTCCTAGAGAAATATTCTCTTTAAAAAATATGGTTTTATTGACTTTTAGAGAGAGGAAGGGAGAGGAATAGAGCGACAGAAACATTGATGAGAGAATCAGTGATCAACTGCCCCCCTGCATGCCCTCTACTGGGGATCGAGTCCGTAACGTGGGCATGCGCTCTGATCTGGATGGAAGTGGTGATCTCTTGGTTGATGGGTTGAAGCTTAACCGCTGAGCCCTATCACCAGGCTAGAGACATACTCTTTTTATTGTTTTGTACAGAGAGGAAGGGAGAGAGATAGAGAGTTAGAAACATTGATGAGAGAGAGTCATCGATCAGCTGCCTCTTACACACCCCCTGCTGGGGATCTGCCCGCAACCAAGGTACATGCCCTTGACCAGAATCGAACCCAGGTCCCTTCAGTCCCCAAGCCGACGCTCTATCCATTGAGCCAAACCGGTCCTGGCTAGAGACATACTCTTAAAGTGAAGGTATTTCTCGCAGGCAGAAGAAATGTGTAGAGTGTGAAGTTAGGCAAAGCAAATCAGCTGGGATTAGGTGTCTCAGGCCTCAGGTGAGGGGCACCAGCTGACAATGAGTGCCAGAGGTACACAGGTTCTTGCAGGCCAGACTCCTTCGTGTAGCTCTAGGCTCAGCTGGGGCCATGGAAACACCAAGTCAGGACCAGAGGGGAGAAATGTCAGTTGGAAAACTCATCAACAGTGACCCAGGCACATCAAGATGCCTTCCCAGACTGGATTATCCAAACGGAACCAAATCTGTTGGAAGGCAAATGCTAACTGGTGGGAATGGATGAAAATGCTTATGAAAAATTCCTAGTCATCATCCCTCCACTGGAGAATGGGACAGCCAGAAGAAGAGGCATGAAGGACATTGCAGGTGGAGAAAAAGTGCTCAGATGTGTAGATGAGGGACCACTCTGCTCCCGAGTTACTTTATTCAGTTATATGACTGCATGTATCCAACTTAATTTTCAACCTTTGAGCTTGGAGGGCCTACACCATCCTCTTTGGTGAAAGATACTTTCAAACAGCCATTCCTTTTATAAGCCTTTGAGGAGGAGGAAGATGTGAAACATCACTTTGTCCTTCTTCTCGTTTTCACCCTTTCTGGGGATGGTATGGTAGAATGTGCAAGAATTTCCAATCATCTCTCTGAAGACAGACCCAAAATCAAACAGGCTGGAAAGGAAGAATTCCTGTTTTGTCGGTTAACTGATGTAGTTATTCTAAAGTCTAATGTGACCTCAGCAGCCCCACCAGATGCAGGTTCTGTATATTTCCTTTCCAAAACTCAGATTTATTTCCTGTGGAAGGTTGGTCCCACCAGGCAGGTGCATGGGTCCCAGGTCCTGCAGGCTCGGCTAGAGGTGCTGCCGTGCTCAGATGTTAACATGTCTGAAGAGCAGGGTTAGAGAGGAAGCCCAGAAAACATCTACACCTCCTATCACTAGGTATTTGGTAAAAAACAAAACAAAAACTCTAAGGTCCCTTCCAAATAGAACCTTCATTTAGTGGCTTCCCAGGAGAAAGTAAATGACAGCCTAACTCTGGTAAATGTTTCTGAAAAGAGGCATCGGTACAATCGTGGCCCACCTAACAATGGGGACGTGCCCTGGAAGAGGCATCCGTGGCTGGTTTTGCTGTGTGGACATCACAGAGTGCACTTAACAAACCTAGATGGTCCAGCCAGCACACCTAGGCCACATGGTATAGCCTGCTGCTCCCAGGCAACACGCCTGTAGAGCATGTTCCTATCTGTGCGAGGCAGTATGAGAGCACATCAAGCACAGGACAAAACGATGCTAGCAAGAGACAAAGTAAACAGGAGATGTGTGAGGCTGCTGCCGGCGCGACGTGGCACACTGTTTTACAGCAAACTGTGTTTTAAAAATAGAAAGAGTCTACACTAAAATAATAATAGAAGGTATAGTATTGTAACTACATAAAGTGGAAGCATGGTCGTTCATAATCATCGTCAAGCATTATGCGCTGTATGTCGTTGTATGCGCTATACTTTCACCTGCCAGGCAGCTCAGCAGGCCGGTTGACACCAGCATCCTCAACGCACCGAGCCACCACGACATGATGGCCATGACATCATAGACAACAGGAGCTTTTCAGTTCCATTACAGACTGTGCAGTGGTGTTCCACCACCGTCTATGCTGTCTGTTGTCTACTGAAACAGCGCTGCGTGGCACGTGACTATATTTAAAAAGTATGCCCCATGTCAGGAATATACTTGGCACCCAAACGGAAAGGTGGGAAGTATGCTGTTCTTGCTAACGGAAAATGCCTTGTGAAATAGGACACTGCTACGAGGGAACGCCTTTGAATTTATGTTCGTTTTGTTTGCTACCCACATAGGTTTGGGCACGTGCCATAGGCAAGGCAGGGAGGGAAGCCAGTTTGATGCCTTCCCTTCGCTCACAGTGCAGAGGGCGCCAGGCCCTCACCCACATCCTGCTACTTCTACCTTCCCGATGCGGAGGAGGGCACTGAGGTTTGGGGGTTGGGCCGGATGACCTAAGGTCCTTTCCAACTCCAATGCTTTATGTTGACGGAGGAGGTAAGCCCAGGTCTTTACACTCAAATGCAGCACAAGAAAGTGTGGGGACCATGTTTTAAGATCTGTAAGTAAAGAGATTAGGGACCCAGATTTAGAGAAAACCAGACTCCCTTTTATGGGTTCCAGGTACATATGTAAATGTAAAAATGTTCTGATCACTTGCATTATAAACACACTTTTGAGGGCACAAATAACTCAAGAAATCTGATTTAAATTTTTTTTCCAGGCAGAGATTTTGTTTCTGGCCTAAAGGATGGTTTGCTTTCCCTATATCAAATGAAAGGACAAAGTAGAATCAGCTTCTCCCTCCAACCCCCAAATTTCAGCAATAAGGTGTGTGCAGTTAAAAAAACTCAGCAATAAGGTGTGTGCAGTTAAAAAAACAAGCGAAGGTCAGAAGCTGGCGAAGGGCCAGTGCTGGCCGGACTGCTAGGCCTCCGTGAAGACATGGGCGCCGGTCCCCCTGAGGCCCGGGGGCTCCTCTTACCTGAGGAGCCGCAGCTCGGCCAGCAGAGTGGGGTTTTGCTGCGCCTTCTCTGGGGTGGGCTGTGAGGCCTGTTCGTGCTCCAGCCGCAGCCGCTGGATCTCCTGTAAGATTTCTCTTGGGAGAGAGGAGGAAGCAAGAGACCAGGGTCAGTCAACTCTCAGAGCATCCTGGACCTCACGTCTGAGCAGAGCGGCTCAGGGCCACCAGCGCCCAGAAGGGGAAGGGGTCACCCTACGTTTCTGAGCAGCACCCACCCTCCCTCACCCAGCTGTTTACGAGGCGTGGCTGCAGCCAGCGGGCCACGTGGAGGACAGGGTCCGACTCCCTCTCTGGTCCATCTGAGCTGGGAGGAGGCTGCGGCACCCCCGAGCCTTCAGGCTGAGCGTTCCCAGCAGGGCCTGCTCTTCTCTCTAGTGGGGAATATCCCGCCGTGGGCATGTGCTTGGCTTGGAAGAGTGCACGGCTAACGGGACCAGCACGTGTCTTCCTGTTACTTATGGTCACACGGACACCAGACAGGGGCTGCCACTTCCAAGGCAGAGGGCTCGGAGGGGAGCCGTGGATACACGGGGCTCGTTTCACAAAAGGAAATAACCCCCCTCACTTGCCAGGAATGACATCGCGCTCACGGGCTTTATCTGAGAAGATCACGCTTGGGCAAAATTCTCTCTCCTTTCCTAACACTGTCAGCCTTAGCAATGGATCCCAAAGAGAGCAGCCTTAGAGGGAAAGCGGTTTTAAGGGGATTCGCTGTAATTGCGTCTGTGACATTAGAGAGCTCTCGGCGTGACCTCTGTCAGGGGTGAGACTGATGTGGGGCCCGGGTTACCCTGCGTGGAGGTGAACACCAGGCCGACCATAAAGGAGAGGTGACCCGTGTAAGGCAAATGGCCCCGAAGTGAGCTAGAAGCCATTAGCAAGGTAACAAGTCACATGTTCCTGGGGGAGGGGCTGGGCTCCAGCCGGCGACACAGAACGAAGCACCGGAACCACAGGAGAACCGGGTGAGCCAGGGGGATGGCTTTCTCTCCAAAAGGCTCATTCACCCCTGTCTGCTTCCCCAACACACCAGCACCCAGAGGCCCGGGACGCGAGAGGAAGGGTGCTCCTGGTCCTTTCCCTGCTCCTCGGCACCTCTCCGGAGGCTCTGGGGTCTCACAGAGCTCAGCCTGAGAACCAGGGCCCTGACTGAAGGCCTCCAGGGCCAACATCCTGACATGCCAGGACTCCCTGGCTCTCCTTCTGGTGGTAAGGATAGAACCATGGCGGAGCCAGGTAGGCCAAGGAGGAAGCAGCTCTGATGAGAAGAAATAATGGCAAGCTATGGAAGGAGCCCTGAGTGCTTAGTCTGTAAGGAGCTACACTGTCTTCTGTAATCGTGGTCTATTTCACCCTCATAACAATCCTGTTATCTATAGATACCCCTGTTATCTGTTTCATGAATGAGGACATCAAAGAATAGGCCAGTGGGGAGACTTGCCCAAGTTCAACAGCACGTGAGTGGCAGAGGTGACCTGGACGCGGGCCTGTTAGCTCCAGAGCTTCTGTACATCAGGCTCCCTCAGTCTGCCGGGCCCAGCCCAGGCTTCTCAGAACATGGCCTCACACAGCCACACAGGGTGAAGAACCGGGGCATGGGAAAGCTTGGCTGCAGGGTGTCAATGGGCACTTTGATCAAAAAACCACTGCGGCTGAGCCGCCGAGCGGCCTTACCGGTTCTTATTCTCCAGCTCCGCGATGAGCTGCCTCTGCTGCTTATTCGCGTCGATGGTGAAGGAGATGTCCGGAGCGCCTCTCTGCTGAGCTGACTGCTGCAAAACACGAGGGTTGCACGGTTTACTATCGAAGAGACAGCAACCATGAGACGTGCAGGTGAGAAAAAGGAAACAATTTCTGTACAAACCAAAAAGCAAAGATACACAAACTAAATGGCCATTCTGCTCCCAAGGACCAGCTTTTCGGTGGGGTTGAAGAACATCTATACAATGAGAAGCAGAACTAATCTTTGGCAGGCAAATACATAAAACATAAAAAAAATTGTTTTTTTTTTAGTTTTCTGATTTGAAGTCTTTGGGGAGCTCTTTTATTCTGGCTATGCTCTCAGTATATGTGGGCATAAAACATACTCACTGTTGAGATAACTCTTTCTCTAGAATTACTGTTCAACCACTGTAATATGCAATTAGAAATTTCATTGTTTTGAAATCATAGTATGACTTTCTTTTCTTCTTCTTTTGGTTAATATACTTTTAGCATTTCTTTACATGTAATTATATATATATATATATATATATATATATATATATATATATATATTTATTCTTGGTCATGCAACCAGCTTTACCAACTGGTATATATGCAGTCATAACTTTCTCCATTCTTATTTTATATATATATATATATAATTATACATGTATATGTGGATACAAATTAACTCCTAACAAATTATACACTGAGTGGCCAGACTATTATGATCTCTGAACACATAATAATCTGGCCACTCAGTGTATATATATAATACAAGGCTAATATGCAAATTGTCTCCTTGACCAGGAGTCTAACCAGCAGGTAGGCCAGCCAACCACCTATGTCCCCTTCCCCTGGCCAGGCTGGTCAGACCCCACCTATGCACGAATTCATGCACCAGGCCTCTAATATATACACACACACACACACACACACACACACACACATACACACTGAGTGGCCAGATTATTATGCATTCAGAGATCATAATAATCTGGACACTCAGTGTCTTTTATAGACAAACGAATCACTGATTAAATACACACATATAATATCCCATATATGTGTGTGTGTGTTTGTGTGTATGTGTATTTAGTCAAGGGTTAATTAGTCATTTTCTATAAAAATAGGGTCAGATTCTCCAGCTCTGTTCCCTGCAGGTCGATGGGGGAAGGGACTACACAATAGATGCATGCCTAGTAGTGTCTGGGTGATGTGGGAAGTGCTTGTCTGTCAATCATACCTGGGAGTGAGTCCCTAGGGGGTTGAAATCTGAGATACTTAGGTCCTAACCAAAGAGAATCTCCCCCTTCCCCCCCAGCTCCCTTGAGACTCTCGTTGTAGACTCCACATACTGGCTTAAGGGACTGGGAGTAGCTTAATGCCATGTGGACACAGCTCCACTGTGGACCAGGAACTTCAGAAATTTGCTCTGCTTCTAGTTCTTCCGAAGCCCAGCTGCACCTTTCCCAGGACTGGCTAAGGGAGATGGGACTTTGGGAAGTGAGGGATATAATTTCATGTGACTAAAAACCACTAATTCAAATCATAGGGTTAGATTATGTATACGTCCCTGTGTCTTGCTTTCTCTACTGTACAGTACATTGTAGAAATTTCTTGATGTCAATATTTACTGACTTCAAAACAATTAAAAAAATATTTCTACCAAAGAATGCCAGACTTTAAAAAATGGTACCCATTGCCTAAGCCTGCTTTTTAAGATCTGGAAGGGTGATTGTAGGAAAGGTTAAAGTGTGGTAAATATCTGGCTTTTGTAAAGCTTCTCTATAATTTTTTAATTAGCAGTTATTTTAAAAAAGAAATGATTTGAAAAAAGGGCTAAGAAAAAGAAATAAAAAGAAACGATTTGAGTTGCTAATGAATAAGTCTGAGATCCTACGTTTTATATCCGAAATGCCTTTCTCTAGCTAAGTCTGGCACATGGCAGCTTTGACCTGTGACCCAGGCTTTTCTTCTGGTTTCACTGCATACTTTTCTCTTTCCCGTACATATTTTACATATTATTAACAAAAGCAGAAACTTATTTGGGTCATTGCTGTGCTCTTTATATTAAGTGATCCAGAATTATCCAGAGAAATCAGGCGTTAGTCTGTTTCAGCAATGTTGTAACAGAATAACTCAAACTACGATCTCTGGTACCAGAATGAGAGCTGAGAAGGGAAAAGATGGAAGGAGTGGGACCATTCTTGGGTCTTGAAGACCACATAGTAGCAACTCTGGAGCTCTTCCTAGTTGTAGCACCGACTATCAGCAGGTGTGGGGAACCTTTTCCTGCCGAGGGCCATTTGGATATTTATAACATCACTCTCAGGCCATATAGAATTTCCAACTTAAACATTAGCCTGCTGTATTTGGTCAAACATTAACTCACCTCTCATGCTTTGGCAGGGCCAGACCAAATGGCTTCCTGGGTTATATAAGGCCAGATGTTCCCTACCCCTGAGCTAAGGGATCAACAATGAACAGGACGTCCTCTCACTCCCACTACTTACAGATGATGTGGACTCTGCCGCCAGTCTTGCTGCATACCTGGCGATCAGCCTGTGTTCCTCATCCAGCCGGTTTGAGCTCTCCAGCATACTATTGAGAACAGAGCGAGGAGACTGTTAGACGACGGGAAGGATGCATGTATTCCTATCGCCACCAAGGGTGATGTTATTTCAATGTTTCAGTTCAAAAATTTGAAAATGATATAAAATCCTATTAGGCTAATGATCTCAGACTTGGATTTATAACATGAATCCATAACGTGAATCTATCGATAGTATGTGGCCAGGAAGGTCACTAATAAATCCTGTCTCACTCACTCCAATTGTCTTACTGAGATAGCTCCAAGGAGGAGTGATGGTTTTGATGAACATTCTGATAAAAGAATATTTTCTCTTTAATTTTATTGCTTTTGATATTTTTATTTCCTCATAACACAAGTAATACATGTACAAAATAGGCATGTTAGGAAACATGGACGCTAGATTTAAAAAAACCAAACAAACAATGGTGGTCAGCCTGTAATGATCCCCATTCCTGGTGTTCACTCTTGTGTATAAGCCTCTCCCTTTAGTATGGGCTGGACTTACTGACTTGCTTCTAGGGAATATAATATAAAATATGGCAGGAGTACTGGAATGTCACTTCTAAGGTTAGGTTATATAAGACCATGGCATCTGTCTGGGGCATGTTTCCCTCTCTGAGTCCTTTTGGTTTGCTTGCTCTGTGGGAAGCTAAGTCCCATGCCATTAGGTGGCTTGTGGAAAGGCCCAAGTCATGAGGCGCCAGAGCCAGCCAGCACCTTGTGAATGAATTCACATGGGCAGAGCCTTCAGATGAGATCACAGCCCCAGCTAACAGTTTGATGGCAACCTCATGAAAATCCTCTTGAGCCACCAGCCCCTCCCTTGTTAGAAATCTGCATTTCTAACAAGCTTCTGAGATCGATCCTCTGGTACCGCTGGTCCAAGGACACTTTGAGTAGCAATGACCTAGAAGATCTTGAAAATAAGATGGAACATCTGAACTATGTAAAATAGATCACTTTTCATGAGCATTTAATTGATATCCATCTAGTATGTGTGGTATTTTCCAAACATTCCCTTATGACAGAAAATTTTAGGATTTCAGGTTGACATATATAGGTATAGTATCAATCCCTATGGATTGAGATTTTAATTGGCATACAAAAGACTTGCAGTAAGAAAATAACTTCAAAGTGAAGGGAGTTAGCTTTGGAAAACTGATGCTTTAAAGCTGATGTTTGTCTTTATAACACGGTATGTGCACTCCGCAGTGGCCAAAAGCAATAACGGAACTTCTTGCTGCAGCTTTAACGAGAAAGAAAGTTCCACTGCCTTTGCTTTAAACATAAAACTACCCACAAAGAAGCAATTTAATTTGATTTCAACATGTTTATCATTTCTGGCTGGTGCATCAGTGACTGAAAGCCTACTTAAACACTGTGTAGAGAATAGGGCCCCTCGCTCCAAGCCCAGGACAACAATGTGTTTGATGGCCTGAAAGTGACTTGGTCAAAAATGTTTGTGAGTGTTTTGGTAAATAAATAACAAAAAACCTTGATAAAAAAAAAAACAACCCCTCATGATGAAAGTGTCTTTTATCACGAATGACCAGCAAGTACGTAAAGTTACATAAAGAAGCCTCCTGGAAATGTAAGATGTAAAATTATGGGATTCGGTCTAGCAAGCTATAATTCATCCTCTATACTTTTCCTCCCCCAGCACTGGCCGAATGAGGGGTGGAGTGATATATTGCCCCTTTGTGCACACAAAGGATTTATGAGTCCACCTGTGCCATTTCAGAGTGTGCAGATTATACGAGAGTGAATGAGGCATTTCTCTGATAAATCCCATTATTTCAAGATTTCAATTACAAATGGTTGAAAATGAATGGCCAATAATCCCTAAATCATTAAAGAAATACAGATTACAACACTTGCTCTATCCTTGGCTATTCATTTCAAGTCTTTGGAATCAGTAATATGTTGCTACAAGACTATGATGAATTAAAAAGAGGCTGCTCTGTAGATGGAATCTTGAATGGGAAGATCGATTATTTTGAAAGCTCTCCAGCGTCTACCTTAAATACATGACCAGTGGCTGCTGCGAGTGGTTGAAAATGGCACTCTAGGAAACTCAAGTGGCCCAGCCAAGCGATGGCTTAGTAAATTGTGACTTAGCAGAGATTTCTGGGGACTTGGGGTTTATTCACATTTTTGGTTTGTTTGTTTCTCTGTAGTCTTGTTCTGACTGCCAGGGTGAGAAAGTCAACCAAATAATGTCACCCAAAGACCACCAGACAAAGTGGTATGTTTTCCCTTAATATTTTTTTCCACTTGGTGATTGGAATTTTATCACCAGAGATTAATTTTTAAGGTCATTAGGCCTCAGGTACTACCCTTCTATTAAAATGGAAATGGCTAGCAGGAGGATTATTGCCTAAGAAAGCATGGTCCATTAACGCCAAGGGGAGGATTGCTTTAGGAGGTTATGGCCTATGTTTTGCAGTTGGTTGAGAGCAAAACACCAGATAGAGCCCTGTTCAGGCTGTCAGGAGTCAGTGAGCAGAAGACAGGGCAGAAAAGAATGAAGTGATACTGGGGTCCAGGAAGTGATTTTATGGGACTGAAGATTGAGGAGAAAAATGAAGGAACTCTCAATGCTTCAACTGTTGGCACTTTACTGTGAGGTTTAAAAGGAAAGTATGGGAAATCATAAATTGGCAATCTTCATGGATAATAATAATAAAATCTACACAATAATGGCTTCTCTATAGTGGCACCTTCAAACTCCTTTATTGAGACCTTAACAACCCACTATAGTATAATCATGGTCAAGGCCCTACATTCTATCTTCTATTGTACAAACTCACAAGTTCCTCCACTTCCTTCTATCCCAACTGTCATCGATATGCTCCATGCCACTGATCTTTGCCTGAATTGGTGTAAAGGCCTCTCAACAGGTTGCTCTGATTTTAGATTTAGTCTTCTCTCCAATTCATTTTCTATCCTGCAGTCAGTGTGATCGTTTAAAAATGAGGTTGGCTGTAACAGTCTTATGCATGAAACCCTTCTACAGGTTCTTGTTTTTTGAAATTCTTTAACAAGCTGGATAAGGCCCTGCATCCTTATTCAAGATAAGCTCCTCAGAGGGACCATGTTCTCTCTGCCCTGAATCATTTCTCTGCCTCCTCCCCACATACCCACCTGGCTAATTTCTCTTCATCCCACTGTTGTCTTTAGTTGCCATTTCTTACCTTTATCTCCAACCTCCAAATTCAGGTTCATAGCTTCTCATGTATTCCACAGAAGTCTGCACCACACTGCCCTTTTTATAGCTGCAATCCCTCTGCATTTTAATTGACTTTTCCCTTGTTTTTATCCTTTGCTAAACTGTCACTCCTTTGAGGGCAGGATGGTTCAATGTTTTCAGCATTAGCACAGTGCTTAGAACATGGCAACAACTACCCAAGAATTAGTTGGACTGAAGAATGTATAAAGGTTAGCTCTCTTAGCTCACACTACCATGGTCTTTGGTTCACCTCTTCCATCTTTCTGGACTCGCATGCATCCTCAACACTTTGAGAAAACCAGGAGAATACAGGTTAAATACTGTATTTTAAAACTTGCCATGCTATCTAAAATGGAACTGTGGAAGATTCACTTTGGGTAGAGATAAAAAACCAGGATACATTGCCTGACTGCATACAGATTCCTCATCTGCTAAAGTTCATAAAAATGTCATTATGCTCATTCATATTCATTATCAGATCTCAATCCCCAATCGTGGCAAATTCTCTTCTGGTTTACATTTATTAATGTTGTTGTAAAGATTAGGAAAGCAGATGGCGTCTAAAAGGGGTAAGATCCCACTCAAAAGAAATGCTCATTCTCAGAAGGAGTGAATAACTGGTAGGGGTGTTATAAAAGAGTGTGTGGGAGGCTGGGCTGGATCATTTCTGGATTCAAACCTCAGCCTTCCCACTTACTAGTTGTGTGACTCAGGGCAAGTCAACCTCTTTGTGCCTCAGTTTTCTCATCAATATAACAGGGGAAATATGGTAACTTACTTCATGGCTAACAACCCCAAATCCACCCAAAGTGTTTAGACTAGTGCCAGGGCACATGGTAAGACTGTGAGAATTTTTTTTACTCTACTCTCGATGGTGCAAAAATTGCTATGACAATTTGCACCATAACTTCCTTACCTATAAATCAGCTTTCTGCCCAAGAAAGTGTGATTGGTTACTGTTCAGTATTCTAGTTTATACCAAAAAGGAGAAAGACAGTTAAGTTGAGTCAATGAAAGAACTTATAGAAGCAATAGGTGGTCTTTATAACTCTGATTTCTTAGACAAAGGGAATGGTTAGCTGGACAGTAATAGCCTTCTCTTTCTTTTCCTTGCTTTTGCAAGCAAAGCCACCCACTGCCATGAATTTCTAATCAAAATGTCCTTTTTGTACAATTTATCCAACAACATCTGAGTCCAGGTCCCATTCTGAATTGTTTATTTTAGCACATTTGGAGAAAGCGTACTCTGAAGTTTATTCATTCAACAATATTGAACACACATGAGCTATCACTTCATTTCTACCATATTATAATGGACAGAGCTTACAAAATAGAATTTTAAAATATTTTTAGATGCCTCCAGTCCTATTCAAAATCAAGGAGGGAGGTACTAACACTGAGTTATTCCCATGTGCCCAGTACTACACTAATTTAAATCTATAGCCTCATCAGATTGGTAGTGTCACTCTCTTCTTCCATGGAAACTTAAAATGTATTGAATCTATGACGGAGAAGGGAACACATCTTAAAATCAATTTATCATCTGATTATGCTGAGAAAATCTCTGTGGATACAACAGAGCCAATGCAGATATGTGACACTCTTCAGACACTTATTTCTAGCCTCCTAAGGAAATATCTTTCTCAGAAGTCTAGTTCTATAACTACAGCTCCTAAACATTTCACAGAAGAAAGGAATGTGTTAACAAGGAAATGAAACTCATATAAAAGAGACACTGTCAGTGAGTATAGACAACTCCTTTTTCCTTTCAATAGGTTG